AGGGAAGGAACTAATTTCCTCTTCTAGATAACTGCTCTTCTAATGACAACAAAACTGAAGACTCTTCTTGTATTTTTCTGTTTGTAAACAAATAAAAGAATATCTGAGGTATGGATGCTGACAGAGAGGTTGAAAAGTAATTGGAAGGTTTTGCACCGAGTGAAGAGTGACAGGAAGGAAGAAACAGATAAAAAAGAAAAGGGAGAAATTTTATTTTATTAGAAGAAATTTTTCAGAACATTTGGTAAAGTCTATGACAAAATGCTAACAAGGGAAAAGACCAACACAGTATGAGTTGGTGTAATAGTATCCAGCTCTTTGTAGAAAAGAATGTATCAGCATAGTACCTTACAGACAAAGAACACCTTTGCATTTGGTTGCTACAGGAACAATTCAAAGTAGATGCAGCTGGATACTCTGTATCTTTCTTGTATAAGTTAAACTTTAAAATTAAGGTGCCTACACTTTGTCTCAGTTCCTATGGATGGCAGTAATTGATTCACAACCTTCTGCCTTTTAGTCCATGGCAACATTTATTATCATAGAGCCTTGCTTTGCCTTGGAACTTTTTGCTGTATGTTCCCTCTAACTCTGTCAACCATGTCAAGGAAGAAACTAAAGCAGCAGAGTCAAGAACTCTAGGGAGAGGGTCAGTGCTGGAAGGTTCCTAGCACCAGCACTGGAAGACCCTGAAAGGTGGGATTTAGAGTCTATGAAAATCATGAGATACTTTCAGTGCAAGAGGAGGGTCTCCAGTATAAAACATTCATGACTTGATCTTTAGCAAGGAAGACAACTCTTTTATGAATTGAACAAACATGCTGATAACTATTTTATCAAGTGAACAATCTTTCAATGGTAGATATTGTGAATAAAGTCAAAGCAGTACTGAATTCTCTTAAGGTAAAATACACCTGCAATACTGCTTGTCACATGTATAGTATGTGAAGACTTGGATATCAAGTATTAAGAGAATGGTCTGCTTCTTAATCTCTGGATCATTAAAGACCTTTTAAAATATACTGAACATGATGATTTTCAGTTAAATGAATCTACTAACCTTTACTACTTAGCAAGTATCTACAAGCAGGGCGTTGAACAATATAAAACTCAGTTGGGAAATAGAAAGACAAGTGTAACTCTGTACTGCCCTCAGTCTGACTCTGAGGAGGACCCAAAGGAAACAGTCATTCATGTAAATTCATCCATATAGTGGGGAGACCCAGGGAAACCAGAAACTCTTATGGTCCTTGAATCCATATCAGCATTAAAAATTAAATAAAGAATTTTTTTGTTTGTATCTGTGTGGTATAGGTGTTTTGTTTGAATGTGTATGTTTGCATGTACATTCCTGTAGAGGTCCAAAGTTGAAATCCAGAATCTTCCTCCATCTCTTTACCTTATTCATTGTGGCAGTGCCTCTTAAGTGAACACAAAGCTTTCCAGCGAAGGCAACTTTGGAACACACAGGAGATATCCAGTATGCCCCAGGGAACCCTGAAAACACAGGTATGCAACTACACCTACCCTGCATTGCCATTTGGTGTAGGTAAATATGTGATAGTTAACGCTCTTGCTCAAATTTGGTGCTCTATTCTTTATCTGGCGATAGCATATAGTCAGTAAACTGCTGAGATATCAATATTTGCTAATAAAACAGTAACAAAAAAGAAGCACTACTTTACTATATTACAGAGACGAACCCAGTGCTGAATGGGGTGGCTCACACCTATAACCCCACCATTTGGGAAGCTGAGAGGCAAGAGTTGCAGTAATTTTGAAGGCAAATTTGGCTACATACTGAGTTCCTGAGCAACTGAAGTACAGAGTGGAAAATTGTGTTAAAACAAAACAGGAAGGGTAGAAGAAAATAAAATGAGGGAAGGGAGAAGGGACAGAGAAAAAAGAAGAAATGAGGGAGGAAGAAGCAGGCAGAAATGAAGAGAACAGACTAATAATCCAACAATTGCAAGCACATGAATGGATTATTTATTTTTAAAAGCTAAGTGGTTTAGGAAAAGTGGAAGTGGGGGAGAGAAAGTACATTTTAGAGCTCTAGCTCCAGGGCTAGTAATAAAAGTTTTTGCTTTAAATTTTTTCATAATACTGTGAGCAAAAGGAAAGTCTATTCCATCATATCAGCCTCCAGGGCAGAAAACACTAGCCTCCTGAGCTAAATCAAACTGGCATGGGCTCTCAGACTTCAGGCAGCTGCCATTGGTCTCTGCCTTCCGTGAGGCTAACCCTGGCAGACAAAAGGAAGCAAAATAAATTTCCACTTATTTTATAGCTACTTTTTTGCTCTCATCAATTAATTATAAGAGTCCTGCAAGCCCATCTTGCATTCCCAGTGTTCCCTATTAGGGTGTTGGCAAGCAACCCCTCACCAAAGACACAAAGCTAACAAGTTCACGCTTGTGCACACATGCACATGCGCGTGCACACACACACAGTTTTTAGTCAAGGTGCAATGCCCTTAAGTTGTTCACTGATGACAACCCTCAGTGTCACCTACTTTAAATTCCCTAAATCAGTAAAATTATTAGGATACACCAGTATTTAGGTTTGATGTATGGAATCATAGTGGAATTCAAACATTTTTGTTTAGGTTTTTTGTTTTGTTTTTGAGACAATATCTCACCGGGTAGCCTAGGCTGCCCTTAAACTCAGAGCAGTCCTCCTGCCTAAGCCTCTCCAATGCTGGAATTGCAAGTGTGTGTCACCAAACCTGGCTGGCAATCTTATTCCATTGTGTGGGTGTGTGAGCACGCATGCGCACACATACACACACATACACACACAGGCACACTATAGTGCATATGTGGAAATCAGAGGACAACTTGCAGATTTTACCCACACCAGGGTAAATTTAATTCAGGTCATCAGAGTTGTTAGTAAGGTCAAAGGAGTTTCAGTTGTACCTTGGTCTTCGGTTTATAGTAAGTATTAAATGGGGCAATATAAGTAGGACGTTTAAATGGACAGTAAAGTGTGTGGTCAGAGAACTATACACATCAGCCTTGAACATTTCATCTCTGAATGACACATGTTTCTTGGGAAAAGAGCCTAAGAAAGTCAGCTTTTTTTCTCCAAGTGAAACATTTACTCTATATCACCAGATAAACTTGAAATAAACAGGTAACCGCGATTTTATTCTGGGATTGTGTGTTTGTTAGACATAGTGCACAAAGAAATATATTAATATTTAAATAAAATGCCCTTTTAAGTGTCCTCTAAAAATATCCAAGGTCCTTCCAGCTCTAAAATGTTGTGATCTATGATAAAAATTCATAATGAAACAATTTTCTGGAAATCATGGGATTATCTGACGGCATTGACTGGAAACAACTGAGACCCAGACTGGGAGCCTGTAACAGTATAGGAGAAAATATTGACTTCTTTTCTCTACCAACTGAAGGTCTCAGGCTCTGCTTGCAAGTGTGGTAAAGAAAGCAAGTGAGCTGTATCTGCAGACAAAGAAGCATGTAAAGACTCACAGAATCCCAAGCAGAACAGAGGAAGTATGTAGAATTCCATGAAATAATTCAAAACTTCACCCTCGATCAAAGAATGTGCAAGAAATTTAACTCGGGAGGAATTTAGCTAAGTGACATCATTTTAGAGATTGAAAAAGTAAAAGCTAGTGATGGGACAATGGTTCATTTTGTAAAGTGCTTACCATGCAAACATAAGGACCTAACACCCACGTCAAAGTCAGGTGCAGTGGTGCATGGATATGACCCCAGCACTGGCAGGGTGGAGACAAGTGGATTCCTGGACCTCACTGGCCAACTGATCTAGCTGAATCAGTGATCTCGGGGTTCATGGAGATGTGCTGTCTCAATAGTTTAGGGAAGAAAACCCTTGAAGACACGTGATGTTGACTATTGGCTCCATAGGCTCATGCACACATGTGCATACACACAGAAACACACACACACACACACACACACAGAGAGAGAGAGAGAGAGAGAGAGAGAGAGAGAGAGAGAGAGATCAAATGACAAACTCAAGGTCAACTGGTTTTTGTGGAACCTGGGGTCTAGGAAACAGAACTGCAGCAGTGACCAACTGTACGTGCACAAATATAAATTACTTTTTTCCCACTAGTACATAATTAGCTTTCTTCATTCACCTACAACTCAACCAGTCCTTGTCTAAGGAAAACAAGCATTGTTCATAGTCTCGTCCTCAAAGAAAATATCTGGTTTTACACACAAGTCAGTGACATGGTTCGGCCTTTAGAAGTACCTTTGCACTGTGGAAATACATTAAATATTACAGTGACAATGATGCCTCAAAAAAAAAAGCAGGGGAGAACAAATTACAAGCAAGAAACAGTTCACTTATGTTTTGTTTTAAGCAAACGCATATATTCAAATCCAAGTAAAGGTAGAAAACAGGGCGCGGAAGTCTGGTGATTATTTAACAACTACATAGAACCACTTCTCTCACTTAATTCCGAGAAAACAGAGTTGAAAGACCGCTGTCTGCACTTCATATCCACTGTGCTGGTCATGTATTTGTTCACGCTGCTGTTTCCAATGTTTGCCCACTTAATTCATTCGATTCTACCTCATAGTCGTTTGTTAGTTATTGAGAGCTATTGTAGCACCATTAGGTGCTACAAGTCAGACACTGGCAACTCAAAAAGCGAGCTCTTCGCGCTGAATTGAAAGAATGAGGTAGAAAGTGAAAGAAATCCCCAAAGCACCAGCACCCTGCCCCATAAAGCCTCCTTGCAGCTCAGTAGACTAGAGAACATTCAGATAGGGGCTGAAGGCAGCTCCTAGGCAGATGAGGTGCAGGGCAGGGCTGCGAGTGACAGACAGCAGCTTCGGGGCTCTGCCTCAGGGTTTCAGTGTGACTGGAGGCAGTCCCAGGCCTCAGCTGGTGGCTCTGCAGCCCTCAGGAAGCCCATTAGTAGCCAGGCCTGCTGGCCTCGCCCGCCCACCCGCCTCCCAGGAGAAGCCGGTCGCCCACAGCCCCGGTGCACGCACCTAGTCGCGAGGCTCTGCGGAGCAGCGGCGGCCACACCCGGGTGAGGCCTGCAGCCAACCGGGCCGAGTCCGGGGGCGGGAACGGGAAGGTCGCTCGGGTCGCGCTGGGCCCTTAGGGCGGGACTCCGGAGGCCCCAGGAGCTGCTCCCGGCGCCCTGGGTCTGCCAGCCTGGCTTCTTCACACCGTACCAGCTGAGGAGACCGCCCTGACCAATGGCCCGAGGACGATGGTGCAGCCCACCTTGCCTCAGCCTGAGGTCTGGGCTTTATCAGAAGTTGTGGCTGGACGGACCTGACCTGGACTGGTGTCTGTCTCCCTGAGCCTGGGTTAGGCCAAGTGGGGTCCTCAGGAAGCCTTGCACTGGGAACTGTCAAACTCCTCCCCAAGGGAAGAGCTGAACAGTTATATTGCCCATGCCGGAAATAATCCAGCACTGGGGAGGCTGAGCAGACAAGGAGATCTCCCAGGACTTTGAGCCTTAGCAAGGGACACAGAACGAGTAAGACCCTGTCTCAAAAACAAAACAACACACCAGATTATTTTCTCCCTCCCTGCACGGTTTAAGGACTATAACAGAAGGCAGAGGACGTGATCTAAACTAGGGAATCAGAAATTCTTGTTTGTTTAGGCATTAGAAGGTGTCCGGGAAAGAAATATGCTTTACTATTCACAAAGCATGTGTGCACGTGTTTCTAACTTTTTTTTAATTATTATTATTTTAGTGAGTACGAATTCCTTTGCTTAGCCAGACTCTTTATCACAGTTATCTTGGTGAAACACTTCTCAGTTCTGACTTTGCTCTTAATCACAAACACCAAGGAAAAACGTCGGTATGCTCAAACATGTGTGTGTGTTATCTCAGAACTCAGAAGATGAGGCAGGGTGAGTGTGAATTTTAGGCCAGCCTGAACTGCATAGGAAGAGGCTAAGAAAAGCAGGAAAGAACAGAATTATATTAAGAACATTTAGAGTCCTTTCCTCTATGTGCACACAACTCTCAGATAACAGTGTCTACTAGTCCTGTTTCCTTCCACAAAGTACCATCTCTGTCAGGTATTCAAGGGTCTTCACAACATGGCCCTAGCTTGCCTTTCCACAAAGAGTCGTATCCAGCCCCACTGGGTTACATTTTTCTGAAACTACCAGAACAAAGAATAAGTTGTATTATTTCTAATTTTTATAATTATTATTATTATAAAATGCAATAAAAATCTAGCAAGTGTATATTAAAAGCTGTAAAATTACAAACTCTAGTTTTTGTTTTAAAAATGTATACAGTTTTCAATAAGGAAAAAAACTGCCCTATTTTACATTCCTAGCTGCTTACCCTCAGATCTGCACTTAGCTCATCTGCACCAATAAAAACAGCCCATAGACTGTCTCTGGGACTTGTTCTCAGTGTGTCAGATGCATTACCTTCCTGACCTCATCTTGTGCTGTTCCTCTCAAACTGAAAAGGATTGAACCTCTTCAGTGTTGGCTCCAGGGTAATAATAAGAGGAGTTTAACTTTTGTTGCGTGCTATTACTAAGACGGGTGAATTATCGGCAGGTGTGTGTGTCAACCCTATGAACTGGCATTATTATTATTTCCACTTTTCAGATGAGGAAGCTGAGAGCTGGGGAGGTCAAGTTACAACCAATGAGGTCAAAGTCAACATTCTAAACTGAGCTGGCTTGATTCCAGGGTCCATCTTTGCAAACACTGTGTGGGTCCTTTTACCATGAGGCCTCCTCAGTAGCCGACAGAAGTTAATTACTCCATTCATGTCCCTCTACTGTAATACCTCCCACCCTACTGATTCTCATTTTATTCCCATCTGTTTCATAACTGTAAAATTTCTGATATAATGGCATCAATATAACCCCACAGCTCTTAGTGATGCTCTTTCTGAATTTGGCTCGTACAAGTCAGTGGAAGTGGAGCTCATTCTTTATGCTACTGCTCTCTTCCAGGGTTCATGTTAGAATTATTTGCTACATCTCCATCCACTATGAAGCCATATGACATTTGATGCATTTATTTTCCTTGCTAGTATAATTTGGATCTGCATAGTCCCAGCCACAAGCTCTGTTCCTGCATGCTTGGTCAGCAGCTGACGGTTTGGCTTGGGGAGGTTTTTGAAACTTTAGCAGGTGGAAAACTAAATCACTCTACATGCTCTTGAGTGTTATATCCATAATTCCTTCAACATTCTCCACTCCTATCTGCCTTCTTGTTTTTCCTGCTTCTTGCTGCTATTGTAATGTTATTCCCAAGTGCACAGAGCCAAGCAGCCGTGAACTGAATTCTTTGAAACCATAACTGAGTAAACTCTTCCTTTCTTAGTTTGTTCTCTTTGGTATTTTTCTCATAGCTTCTTAAAATTAACTAAGACACTTAATAAAAATGGTCATACTTATTTATATAGACAAATATTTGCCAACATGTAGTATATCCACTACATTCTGAGTGCTGAGAGCAATGTCTGACATATTACCCATTATAGGCACTAATATATGGTTGTTATAAGTCCTGTAGACTAAGCTGACCAGAATACCATAAAGGTAAGGGACAAATGATTGGCAAATCCAAGTGAGAACAGATTGGTGAAATAATTTGAAGAGTTGGCTATACTTTCCAAATTCTAGTTGTCACCAGTTCCTCTAGTCCCAGAAGTGACAGCTCTAAAATAGACACAGGTGTGACATAAAGCACTAAGTTCATAGAAAACCTAAGACAATAGTCTATGTCACACAAGTCAAGACCAGTGTGCGAGCTGGTCTAAATCCCATGATAATGCTACTGTTGTGTTTTCCCCACACAGGATTTCTCTGTGTATCCCTGGCTGTCCTGGAACTAGCTCTGTAGACCAGGATGGCCTAAAACTCACATAGATCCACCTGCCTGTGCCTCCCAAGTGCTGGGATTAAAGGCATTCACCACCTGGGAATAATTACAGTGTTCTTAATTACAGTGAATCTATGGGTGATAGAATTGAGTTTCATACTAAAGTAAACAAGGATTACAATGTTTAATCAAATTACACTACCTAAAATCAAAAATAAAGAATTTTCTAGATAGTGACCCTGTTTTCAAAAGAATTGCTCAATGTTTATTTTTAACATCCTATTCTATAATTATTTGATTAATCTTTTAGTTTCGCCAGTACAGAAGTACTAAATCCAGCACTTTTTTTTCTGAGACAGGGTTTCTCTGTGTAGCCTTAGCTGTCTTGGAATTTGCACTGTAGACCTTTAGCCTCAAACTCACAGACATCTGCTTGCCTCTGCTTTCCAAGTGCTGGGATTAAAGGCATGTACCACTACCAACAACCTATTAAATTTACTTATTTATATTTTTATTGGTGTTTTGTCTGTATATATGTCTGTGTGAGGGTGTTGGATCCTGGAATTACAGACAGTTGTAAGCTGCCAAGTGGGTGTTGGGAACTGAACCCAGGTCCTCTGGAAAAACAGTCAGTGCTCTTAACCGCTAAGCCATCTCTCCAGTCCCTGAGATCCAGCTTTTTTTATTTGTCTTATCTGTTATAAGATGTAAATGTCCTAAAAACAGACAAGTACGTAGGAATGACTCATTAATAAGGTTGACTTTGTACTTAATAACGAATGAGAACACTGCTAATAAAAGATACATCTTCCTCCTCTCTCTGCTACTCGGTATTGAGGTGGTGAAGGGAGTAGCCATTGTCATATGGAAGGACTGGCTAGTTCAGGAGCTCTTGAACGTGGAAAATGGGTAAAGAAAGCACCACTGATTGGTACTGAAAGACCTCCACATTTTCATGATTAGGTCATCCTGGGCATACATCTTGGGTCTCTATGTACCTGTCTGTGTGCCCAGTACAAGGGACAATGTAAGAAGAGGAAGGCATTGCTTTTCCTTGACGTCAGCAAGGAGTCTAGTTGCTTTATTTGACTCCACAGATTAAAATAGTAACTAGACCAACCCTGAGAAGTTGTGGGTTCTGACTCCACTACAAAGCATGTATATACATCTCTGTTACAGTTCTAAATTGTACTTCACACCTAACTACTGGGAATTCTGTTAGGAGACAGCAGCGTGTATCTCTGAGTCTACTTCTAGAATTTCCTTTTCTGCAGGATTGTCTCATTCATAGTGACTTCAGAACTAATCTTTTGGGGCCATTCTCCTGCCTATCAGGAAACATATAGAACAACATACAGAATAATTCAGAAATAGATGTCTTAAACAGCAAGCATGTTTACTCCTTAGTTTGGATTTAAGTTTTCACAATAAATTCACGATTGTGGCCCATCCTGAGTGTATTCATCCTCCTAGAGTAATTTACTGCCCTTCTGAGCAACCTTTGCTCCCTCTTTCCATATGTTTCTGGAAGAATAACACCCCTGCCCATCACATAAGACTCAACCTGCCTTCTTCATGCCCACAGAAGTTTGCAGATGAACATATGACTCTAACTTGGCCAAATCCCCCATTAAAATTAGCACAATCCACTGAAAGAGAAAGAGCAAATCCTTCTGGACACATGAAAGACAATAGAGGTTATTTTGGTTAAACATTTTTCCAGTCACAAAAAAGGGCACATGTGTGGAAAAAACAGCCAACACCAGAAAAGAAGTAGATGCAAGTAATTTGGAAATGGAAAGGGTTGACACCGTCTGAACCATAAGATCCAGATACCAAGAGCTAGATAAGAACCCTTGAAGCTACATATACCAGCAAATTTCTGCTTTCCTTTAGTATTTAGATCACCATTTCTGTCATTTGCTCTCATAAAGCTCTTTATTTACATACATGAATTAGTTTGGTAACACTAACAATCCCCGGAGTGCCATGACTGCAGCTGCTAAGACCCTATAAACGGCTCTTGTGGTTCTATCCAATGGTTCAGAAAATTGCCCCAGGTTCCACTGTGCACTAAACCCTCTCACTCTATTTCTTTATCTTTACTTTTATCCTACGGTCTGGTACCTGTATCTCTTTGGACTGACACTTCACAGTAATTGAGTCTGACTTCCTATTTCAGCTTTACCCCTCTTCTTGTTTCTGTTGCTGTGATAAACACCATGACCAAAATCAACTTGGAAAGAAAGAGTTTATTTTAGCTTACACTTCCAGGTAATGGTCCAACACTGATAGAAGTCAAGATAGGAACGCAAGGCAGGAAGCTGGAGGCACAAACTGAAGCTGAGACCATGGAAGAACGTTTTTACTGGTCCAGCCCTGAATGCAGTTCCTGAAACAAGACTAGGCTGTATTCTTTTCATCACACTGGGCAGTATTTCTGATCTCTCCGGTCAAATCAGTACACCTAAATAAGACATTGTTTTTCATAGCAACAACGACTGATTCCGTTTGTCTCCTCAAATGGGTTCTGTGGTTAACCACTGAGGCCCCACTGAAAGATGATCATTTTCATTT